AGCCAAGATATTGGCAGTATCCCAACACTATGCACTGTTTGTGTTCTATCCTCAAAAGCCCCTCAAATAAACTCCCCATTCCTCAATCCCAATTCTACCAATCCTAGTGAAACAAACAAAATCAGCGCAGCTCTCGACATGGTTGTGATTTCTCCCACTATGACTCGATTTAGGTCTCGAAAGTCAAACTCTCACATCTCCAATGATSTCCCCTTTCTGAACCCTTTGTTCCGCAAGTGCTAGSTCAAGATTTTCTGTCTTTTCTCTACCGACCGTTGCGAGATTTCCCTTCCAATCTACCCACTGGATATCGCAACGTAGTATCCTGTTAGCCACTTYKTWATCAAACCMRCCAGTGTCTCTTTCCCATTCCCGGGTTATTGTGTTCTGTCAAGACAAATAGCAAATGCAAATAACCATCTACTCATTTTAAAGATATCCCGCAACACAGGTCAGTAGAGAAAAGACAGTCTCGACCCAGTATGACCGGGAGGGTTTTTAAGCAGGCCCTGTTTTCAAGACTATCAATTTCCCCAATGACCTGCCTCAATAACGAATAGACACACGACGCTCATTACTCGTTAGCATGATTTATTAGAACCTCAACTACAAACTCCATGAATCTGCCTATACGTATGCACTCACATGGCATTATCAAATGACGGCCCCTGACCCTTCTCCGCAGCTTTCCTTGCCAAGCATTTGGCCCACAGGTGGCCTGGTTTATTACAATAATAGCATCTTCGGGGAACCTTGTATCCCCCCTGGCTGGCCCTGTAAGGTGCAATCTGACGATCTCACCTTAAATTCTTTACCATCGCCTTCTCAACCATTGCGACTGCCCTAAAAAAACCTTTTGGTGATCCTTATTTCCCAAAAGCCTCAGAGTCAGTGACCTGAAGTGCTCGTACCGAATATCCATCTTATTCAGAGCACTTTGGTACGCGAGATGGTAATACTCGCGTTCCTCGTGTTTCGTCTCTCTGGCCGTGTTCTAGAGTGTCTCCAGAATTTTTAATGGGTGGTACTTATTAAACTCCGATTCCGGCCGATTTGCATAATCAAACGCCTTCGTCAGCAAGCCCGCCAGGCTTAATTAGCTTCGTCATCTCTTCCACAGATTTCTTCAACAGCGCCACCTCTCCTTTTACTTCAAGTAAAGGTTCACGTTAACTCCCGTTCAATCGGAGGGATTACTCCCACATTGCACAACAACCACACGTATAGTTATTCCGAGACTATCGTTATCCCGAGATACATAAACACTCCGACGTATCGGTATGAACCACGTGAGCCTCTCTTACCGGCCACAAAGTAGAATAAATATATCAAACGTATGCCATGAACACTCATGTTAACAAACGTTGTTTTAACCAGTGAACATTCCCTCGCTTAAGACTCTGTTTTTCTTATCTTCTACAATACTATTTACAAAGCTCTGTAAAGTATTTTTATCGAGTGAATAACATTTTTCTTACTCTAGGGAAATTGGAAAATGTTATCAATTCGAGTAGCACTACTAGTCCTTGTTCATCTAGCTGTCGTCAGTCAGAAAAGACWGTCAGCAGACGCTAGTCCACAGGATAATACGCCAACCAAACGAARATGTAAGTAATTTCTTTGATATTGCATACATTCATACTTGTATGTAAAATTGATTATAGGAGAAACTCTGGAGCCTCGCCTACATAATTATTTTGTTCATGATCTCTGAACCAAATCTCAGTTAAGTCGACTATTTTTTGCCCTTGTCTATATAGCAATATTCAGTTTTTCATAGTATATGCAATTGTTTTTCTCTGCACTGTATCGCTGTTTGCGGCGTGAATTTTTTATGTAGCAGGGACTTACAGATATTGCTGTACAGATTGCTTTGCAGTTTAAAGATTTTATGCTTCAAGCTTACAGATATCGAGTCGAATCAAATTTAGAAAATGCGAAATCATAGAAATTATGTTCTTATAAGTGAATTTATTATGTGGGCTTTACCASAAGACTATTTAGCTAAGTGACGGGATCGATCGAGTACACTAATAGGAGCAGTGTCTCGGAAGAYTTCTGCAGAACAAGTTAACCAGCTTGTGATTTCTCGCAGTAAAATAATCTGTTGCAAGTTGAAAAAAGTTTGCTGCAGAAAGTAAAGGATCGTCAATATCTTTTGCAYAACAAAAAMAATCCTTCGATAATATAATCGATATACTGGCTAGTACTGTACAACACTCAACTTGTCTCTCGGTAAAATGATTTGATTTATCTAAACGTGAGCGGTGTTGCTTTACTTTTTACGTTCTTTGCAGTTTGTCCTGAGGGTGGCGGGGACTTAGATGCAAGCTGTCCATACTGGAAAACACTTGGACTTTGCGAACGCAGTAAAGGATACGCCGATTTCATGGAGGAAAAATGCTCAGCGAGTTGCTTTTTCTGTCAAGGTAATTCCGATTTACAAGGTAGATGAGGTAGATGGTTATTGCACATACGCAGGAGCCCATTACTATAGGTGCGTGCATGCCCTTACACAGTGTCACAGTGTTTCCATAGACGTGCCAATTTTTAAGATTTTTCTTCAGTCGTCTCTGCAGTAGTAGTCTCTTTGCTATTGATTGGTTTAGAAACACTAGAAGACATTTCGCGTTCACTATCGTCCCATGACGTCATACGCCAGATTGAATGCAGACAACTCGAGACAGCACGGGTCATGATGACAAAACTGGTACACAAGTATAGTCTTTATCATCGCAAGAACGCCATTTTTAATCGCTTTGCAATGCTAAAAAAATACTAAGAAGTTTCGATGTTTCCCGTAAACATAAGATATTATATATGTTCACCTTTTCGCTCAATCGATTTGCCTARTAAATGAAAATTCTTGGCTGACTACACAATTTTTTTGGAGATCTTTTTTGTTGCACTTGCTGTTGGGGACTTGATGCCAGCTTCCCAGCTTAATTACTTCTCGGCATTTTCCAATATTTGTCCGAGAACTGAGCCGGCGGCACAGGTGACTGGAGCGTTGCCATACTCATACATCTAATTCATCAGTCCTATCCAAAAAATCCATTGCGCCATAAAGTTCCCCGCGGTTTGTAAYAAGGATWAGTTTGGCATAAGTTTGATGGAAATTTTGAAAATGCCACCAAAAATTACTTGGAGCAGGCGCTAGGCGTGTCAATCTATGMGTTTACCCAAAAAGTGTGATTACAATGTAGAACGACTCAAAATCAATAATCCAAAATCTTACACTAAGTCTATTCGTAAAGTTTYGGTGAATTTTCTCTCATATAACGACCGCAGATTCCACCGTTCCATCTTCAACCGTCCTAAACTTGCTCATTCTACCTACCTTAAAGTTCCTACTCACTCTGTTTGTTTAATGTTATTAGGCCAAGTAAAATAGTAGTCATATCTTGGCATTGGTTAACTAATTTGATATCTTATTTACTTTAACAGCAAGACCTACGCCTCCACCACGAGCAAGACTTGTTAGAGGTGAATAGCACAAGTAGTTTTTAATTTATGGTCCCAAGCAATCTCACAAAGCATATTTAATGATATTGCTGCAATCAATTTAGATCAAGACTGATAGAAAAACGTTTAAAATCTATTTTTATTGTTGTTTAGTTGATGTGCGTAACTGTCTCAGGGCACATAACGAAAAGCGAGCACTTCATGGCGCACATCCTTTGCGATGGAATTCGGATTTAGCTCGTGATGCTGAAAAGTGGGCTTTAAAGCTTGCCAATGGGAATTTTTTCGAGCACGATCCCAGCAATAGACGCCAAGGAGAAAATCTTTTTTCTATCACAAGGGTTGAGAACCAGCCTATTACATGTGAAGATGCCGTCAAAGCATGGTAAAACGTTTTTATATACAATTATTTTAAAAAGCGTTTTGGGGTCGCAAAAGTGTGATGTATATATATCAAAGCTAACACCAAAGGGGATTCAGAAAGTTACCCAGCATTACCCAGGGAAGGTCATTTGAAAAACACTGTTATACTCACTTACCCATGCTCCCTTTCGGTCTAATCTTTCATAATGTATACCCTTTTGGAACCCAATAACGCATTTTTTATTTATCACAACCCCTGCCTTATTATCGCCGTAAACAATCTTTTATACGAATTTCATGCGGGGTTTTTATATGAATGATGAAAAGACATTAATTGTGTACATATCCGAAAAAGGTGAGAATTAAACATTTGGTATTGTAAAAACGCTCCGGAATTAGATACAAAAGAGAAGAGGGATTTCAAATTTCTATTGAGCAATGACGATAAAGATAATTTTGGATTCTATGAGCTCTTGATGTACAAGCATTTTTTCTCAAGTAAACGTCTCACAACAGATATGTATAATCAAGTTTRTATGATTATTTTAATAATAACTGTCTAGGTATGACGAGATAAAAGATTACCCGTTCAATTCACCACCAAAACACGTTAATGCAGTAAGGGGCAAAGTCATTGGACATTTCACGCAGGTATATTGGATATAATTAACAATTAGACCCGGAGCCCGAATGGGCTACGGTTCAATAGGGCTATTGAACCTATTCAATGAAAACCCTCGCCCTAGTGTTTGAACCTTTATTTAGTATCCAGCAACTTTTTCTTTTTTTTCGCGCTTTCTAGATATTGTATTAGATCAAAATATTTTCATTTTTTGCGAATTCAGTAAAAATAAACAAATTTACAAAGCACTCGTGACTTGATAAAATCACAAATCAAATGGAAAAATGACACAAAAAACGTTAAGAGAACATCAACAATTTCCTGAAAACACTATTTTATAAATACCGGTTGCAAGTTGAACATTGGAAGCTCGTTTCTTAAGGAAAAATAGAGCTGTTCGCTTGTCATTTTTTCTTGAATTCCACACCAGAACAAATTTTAGGATGAAAATATTGAGATGTTTCTGTATTTGAGTTTTCACAGCTAGTTTTTGACTAAAAATATCAGTGTCCATCAGTACGCTTTCTTTCTAAAGTAAACATGAAGTAGGCCTGATGCTTGACAAGTAACTTACGGACTTTACTCGCTCGTCCAAATGAGCATTTTTATTGAATATGCGGTTGGCCATTTGTCTCCTAGTACACATTCTAAGTCCTTATTTTAAAGATACGATAAACGGACTTCCCGCGCGTTCTTGTTTTAAGTTCTCAACTACAGCGATTCCTTCATGAAATACGAGTAGTGGCCGGGTCATCTTTTTATCCAGAATACAACCTTCGCTTAATCGCACGATAATATTCTCCATAACTCAAAATCTTTTCTGTCCATAAGAGAAGCCGTTGATGGTATCTTATAAGGTTCTAAACGCTGAAAAACTCGCTTTAGTTTTATCCCCTTCATAACAACAAGACCCCCACTCATCGCACGAATTACTGTARCCCACAAATTGTATATTTTAACATTCTTTATAATTTTCGATCTTKGCGTTTCTTTCTAACATTTTTCGGCTTAATAACTTCAGTAAAACATTCATTAATGGAGAGTTTCGGTGGCTTTCTTTGGAGTACTGATTTCAGTGACTCCATGTTGACTATCACATCACGAACGCGTTACTTCCCGCGAAATTTGATACTACAGCACAAGCGCACTAGTGAAAAAWAATGGTCGAGCGTACCTGGACACGAGTGAGAGCTAAATGTTCACGATGTATGGCAATACGTTTGATATGAAATTAGAACTTAAACCTGTTTTCAATTCTTTAGTAACAACTCCTCAAAATCTTCATTTCATAGACGATATTTCTTATCAGGATAAGGGTTGAAAACTGTAAAAATTTTAAGAATTGAGGTCTTTGTTTGAATGAAAGTTTGCCATCCGCAGACCATCGTCGCAAACTCGCACTGAAAAACCGGTTTGAACCGTTTGCCAGTAAAAATACTGAAAAGCCATTCGAGTGCTACAAAACAAAAATATTGATCATTTGTTAAATTTTATTGCCAAAACCACTGAAAATTGAATTTACGAGCGCTCCGCCATTTTTGCTTTCTCCAACCATACTAGTGGATTATTGCAAATCCTTCGTTCTGATTGGCTACGCTACTCGGGGTCTATTTTCAATAGTCCTCGACTAGCGAAAAGCGACAACTTTTTGCGTATTTTTAGCAATAAAAGCACTTAGTAATTCATATATTTCGTTCATTTTCTGTCCAACTAGTGTGGTAATACTAAAACAATTAGATCTCTCGGCCTCGTGGAGTACGAGCTGATAGCCCATGAGGCCGAAATCAGCTCGTAGTCCACTCGCCCTCGAAATCTAATTGTTAAATAGACCATGGTTGAGCAGCCAATGAGAACTCGCGATTTGTGATATACCATAAGTTGTTGGATTATTAAATATTAGCGATTACATAGCAAGAAAAACAAAGTGAAAAAAGGCTGTCTTATTTTCGTTATAATGAACACAACTATTTTATTTTCATAACGATTTAAATGTACATTGCTTTTATCTTTAGCGCATTTCAAGTTGAGCAGTATTAAAACCGGGTTCGTTTTATTACCCTCTGCAGTGTATACATTTTGCATTCTGCGACAAGAATTACAGCAAAAGGTTTTTTCATCCTATTTATTTTTTTTAATGTAGGTTGTTTGGAAGTCTTCCAAACAAGTAGGAGTGGCGATATCAATTATCAAGCGTGGTTTTTGGTACTCGTCTTATGTGGTAGCACGTTACACACCTCCTGGTAACTATAACAACCAATTCGGTGAAATGGTCGGCAGRCTTAGAGGGTAAGTGAAGAGTATACGCTCTTTGAATCAAAAACGGCTCACGCTGAGACATGCTTGAATTAGTCTATTMAAATTCTGACAACATCTAGATTGGTTTATTTCAACCATATTTGATTGATCATGCGTATTATTAACCGACAACCTTTTCTAAAAAAAAATAATAATAACAAAAGTCAAAATACTATTCTACTTTCAAACAGGTGATCCTGATCATTAACAGAGCCTGGAAATATGCACTGTATACAAACTAGTAAATCAAAAGAAACCAACGGCAAATTTAATTTCAAGATGGAAACCTAGAATGTGATTAGAAATAGGCAGAGTGTAAAATCAGTCTTTGACGTTTTCCTTTTATACTGTAACATTTTTACCAATCAAAATCCACACATATCAGCCTATAGCATCACTAGGCAAGCACTAAATTAAACCTTTTCAGCATTACACTACAAGGCATCACGTATTCTTTCACACCACTCACGGTCAGTGGGACACACACTTCTGTTTTGTGGTTTCTTAGGTCTATCTTCCATACAATCATCCTAAACGACCCAAAATATGTTTTACATTGTTGTTGCCATTGTTGATTTACTAGAGGAAATATAGGGCAACGTAAAAATTGTGTTTTTTAGCGATTGAGACGACACGGATGMTTTGATGGAAACTGGGCCCCTAGGCCTAAACATAGTTAAATCTATTAACTATGGCCTAAAGAAACGTTAGTAATCATTTTTCCCACTCACATTGAAATTGATTATATTTCTAGACCCATAGAGTTTTTGCCTCTTTTTAACGTTTTATGCTTGTATTCATCTAAAAACAGGGATGCCTGTGAMCTGAAAACGTCATTGACTGTTAGAAAACATTGTGCATTGATAATGATTTGTATCGTACATGAAATAAACGAAAGGCGGCTCACTGGTACTATTGTATTTGCTGTACATTTTCGCGATCGATTGCTTCAGGTACGAAGCCCTCTATTCAAAAACCCATTTTATCTTAAAATGATACGAGAGCTGCTTTGAGTGTTTTTCTTGKTGATATATTCACTTCCGGCGTCAAGTGTGTTTATTTTATCGGTCTTCGCCAACTTAAACGATCTGGCCTCGCTTCGCCTGAGCTGGTATGCTTTCAACCGATAACTGAGTATGCTTGTGTCGCGTTTTGCATGATAGCCTACCAAACTATCTAGTTAATTCGTAAGAGTAAGTTCAGCGTCGCGCCTTGTGTATTATTTTTCCATATGCTTCGTACGAGGAGTCCGGACTTGTAAGTTTAGCCGACCGTCGCCAACTGGTAAAAAAAAACTATTCAATAAGATTGTTGGCAAAAAGAACTGTAAACTTAATACTCTCCTGTCTCCTATCAACGATTTTATAAAATTTCTCTAAGACGCAAACGCCTTTCTATCCAATCAGAGAGCAACAGAATTTTCCAGAGCTGCTGTTTTTCGTCGAGCTTGCGCAGCGGGTTTTCAAAAACTTCATTGCGAATCACTCGTAATTTTTCTTAGTTTAAGTTATTTTATGTTAAAACAAAATTGCTTTATTATATGTAATAGAACTATTTTAAAAGCAGCCGTCTAAGAAACTTATCACTTTGAAACATGGATATCGCGTGAAGATACGGGAGATCTGCAGCATCCAAAAATGTGATTATTTTTGCTCCAAAGTCAATATATTTCGAAATCCATTCTAATGCTGAGATCTGAACTTTAGTCGTGATATTTCTATTTCTCATGTGTCCCACATCCAAGCGCCACTATTTTTTRGTCTACTATGACTATGCAACTGKTACATTTCAACTAGTCGAAACCTAGTAAAGTTCAATAATGAGAGTCGAAAACTGAGAACTTTTCTAGTGTTGGGTACACGAGTGTCTGCAAATCAGTTATGACACTGATGTTTTATGCATGAGTTTTATAACTACCTGAATAATCCAGTTTCGAATTCTCCAATGCTCTGTGTTAGCCTCATTTGTGCGCAAAATATTCCTAATTGTGAGAATAAAAGTGTGAGATTTCAAATCAATTTTATTGTTTTTCTTCACAAATTCCACGCATTTTCTCGGGCTATTAATAAAACAAAAGAATATTTTACTTGGGATTCAGGCTAACACAGAGCAAACCAGAACTCGAAATGTCTAATTAATTATTGTTGTAACTTGAGTTATAGGTTCTGTCATGTGACCCATAGTTGAATGCTCATTGGAAGAATGTCTAATGAATAGTTCATGAGTTTTAGAAATAAAGAATACTAATAAGGGTGACCTTTATCAGATATAAAGCTMCTTGACCTTAGCAAAGGTCTCATATTTGAATTTTTTGATGTTATAAAAAGTTTATTTACAATCAATACTCTACTTCTAAGACCAACCTCCTCCATTTTACAATTTCATACTACTACTGATACAAGCTATTTGATTCTAAACACCAACCATTAACCAAGACTATAAACAAGGAATAACTAATTACGTAGATAGCAATAATTACAAAAACTAATTAATGGAGAAGAAAAGAAAAATTATCATTACGGTTGARCGAAAACAAAAGAAAAAATGCGTAATATTTAAAAGTCTCTATACTTCCAGTCTACTTGCATTTACAATTCAAAGTGATCAAAATAAAAGAATGTTCAATCTGTAAATGTCAAATGACTCATGCTACTTTAAAAGTTTCTAAGAAAAAGAAGTGTTCAAATTAAAAAGAGTTCTGTCTCATACTGCCGTAACAGTTCATATTTCTATGCTCTATGCTCTATGCTCTCAGAATCCTCAAAAAGTGSGACGTAGACGCGGCTGATATTGTCACAGTGTATTGCTCATTAATTAGACCTATACTTGAATACGGCTCTGTCTGTTTTGCCAATCTRMCTAAATACTTGTCATTAGATCTTGAAAGAGTTCAGAAACGCGCACTTGCTATTATCTTTCCTGACCTGTCGTATAAAATTGCACTTGAAGCAGCTAACTTAGAACTACTGGAAGACAGAAGATCCTCCGCTTGTAAGGACTTTTATCTCCTCAGTTCAACCAAATAACCCCCTGTATAACATCATTAAGGGTCAGTTAACTAAATCAACGCATAACTATAGCTTAAGAATTTGTAGTAACTCCAGCCTAAGATCAACGCGCACAGATAGATTCAAGCACTTTGCTACCCATAAGTACGCTAAGCTCATATGTAACCAGTGGTATTACTAATTATTTATTGTGAATTTATCTAATCATATTTATTATTTATCCTGACCCCACTTGTAATTCAGTCATGCTTATACTGCAATAAGTGGAAATAAAGARATCTATCTATCTATCTATCTATTGACGTTTCATGTCCATATTCAAAACAAACTGCCTTTCATGATCAAAGTCCATATTATCGGTATTATCCGACAAAAATTCAAATTTGTTGCTGGTATGCACTGGGAGGTCCGGACGACGCTTAGACACCCCGCCAGCCTCCGCCTCTCCATCAACCACATCAATCCAGGATCTTCTATCTCTCTTCCTCGTCTGGACTTGACTCGGCGGTAGGCTGGTCGACGCCCCAGCCACGGCAGCAAAGGTTTTCTTTCCCGGCACCAACGGCCACCGTCTTCTCACCAACATTTTTTCGCACTCTTCTGTTGTTTTCCTTTTCCTTTGTCCTTGCGCTGGTCCATTTCACTGTTTCCTTGCTCGCCTTGGGCTCGAATCTTTATACCTGATAAAACATTCTCTCTCGTGTTTTAACCCTATTCAGACTGGGGGGGGGGCTTTTGAGCAAGGCCAATAACTTTCGAACCAAGACAGCTACAGCTCTGAAACTTTCGGACTTTTCCTAAAATTTATCTGGGCAGTTTTTGATGTATTTTTTGTTGTTGATAACGTCATCCATGTCGCCATGGCAATCAGTTTTTGAAACATTAATTTTTCATTTTTACAGCTTATTTCTTATTTTATTATGCATCGTTTACCTATTTGAGCTTGTTCCCATTGCTGACTCTACAATACCATAATACTTTTTCGACAACAAAAACTTTGGGGGGAGGGGTGGGTAGTTTTCAGTCATTTTTTCACATGGAAGAAAATTTCATTAAAATCATCAGTAACACTTCAAAACTCACTTTTGTATTCATTAAATGTTAGTTTGAGAAGTATTTAAGACATTATGAGCTGTTTTCCTCAATGCTTAGTTTTTTAATGRSATTTTAGAAAATTCAAGMTGGCKGTCCAAGATGTCGGATCCTTAAATGGCGGATATTCTTCTCAATATTTGCTTGTTCCAAATTGTTTAACTTCAAAAACTCCTCAAATTGTAAATTTTACCATAAAATTACGGTACAGACAAAAMAAAGTGAGATTTGGAGTCAAATTACTCAAAGACGACAAAGACACTATAGGAAATGACGTCATCACAATTATGACGTCACGATTGTTACCATGGATACAAAACGAACCACAACATCACAGAAGAGCAGTAACGCCTAAATATGATATTTAACTGGTTATCTAGAAATAGATATATAATTGATAAAAATTACCTGATATCTATGACGTCATTGTGGCAAAGATCTTCGTTTGAAACCTCTGAATGGAATTTGACTGCCAATAACCGCACCACGAAATTTATCATTGTTTATCGGCCACCATACTCAGCAGCACATCCTGTACCGCCCAGTGTCTTTTTCCAAGAATTCATCACCTATCTTGAGTCCATTGTCATCTCTCAAGAAGTGTTAGTAATCGCGGGTGACTTCAACTTTCATATGGATGATTTATCTGACATCGATGCAAGTAAGTTTGCGGATTTACTTGAGACGTTTGGACTTCAACAACATGTTAATTTTCCAACACACATCTCTGGTCACTGGCTCGACCTCATTATAACTCGATCTTCTAATGACATCTTGGTAGTGTCACCCAAACCATCGCTGTTTCTATCAGACCATTGCTTCGCTTTGTGTACTCTTGCTGTACCGACCCCAGCAGCTATAGTGAAGGAAGTTAACTTCCGCAAGTGGAAACAGATTGACTTGGAAGCGTTTAAAGGAGACATTGTTGATTCTGAACTTTATCGCCTGCCAAAGGATGAACTTGTGACAAACTATGATCGTGTTTTGCGCACCATACTGGATAACCACGCCCCAGTTCAACATAAGAGCCTTATTGTTAGACCGAGAGTCCAATGGTTTAGTGATGACCTGAAGAAACTGAAACGTCAACGCCGAAAACGTGAGAAAAGGATGAGAAAAAGCAACTTGCCATCAGACGTTTCTGAGTATCGAAAGGTATGCAACAAGT